CAGGTCCATTATATAAAAGTGCGAATGACCTTAACCATCCCTTCATGAGCACCATATCGGGTCTGTGACTTTGATTTATTCTTATCTATTTCACTGAACACCATTATCGCTAGAGCGCGACAACGGGTCCGTGACTTTGATAGATAATATTATAAATCAAAATGCATAAATGTGAAAATACATAACAGCCAACGCCTGAATACACAACAGCCAACAACTGAAAAAAGTGGGAGGACAGATCAGAAGACCGCCTAGAATCCCGACTAGCAACGCTAGAATAATAAATACTCGCAACTAAACTAACGAGCTACACGACTACCAAACGCAAACTAAAACTAAATCAACTAAAAAGACCCCAACAGGGTAATAGCCGAGTGTCGGATCCCAACAGGATAATAAGGTGCACTCGGGTTCACAGGGGCCAACGACCTTAACAAAGAACACACAGACAAAGAGCCCAAAACCAAATACAATTTACTACAGAAAAAGACACGGAAACGAAACACCATCTAAGAAAGAAAGAAAGCCTTTCCACGACAAATCATACGGCCCGGACCAGCGGAGAACAGTCAACATCCAAGATCAGTCCAAATCCAGACGGCTTCCGAAACTGCCACAAGGCCTATACAAAAAGTCGAGCCCAAACACAGACCAAACTACAAATCAACCCACCTCAACCAGAGGGACATCCGAACTGACCCCACTCTAGCACCCCCAAGCACGCCTAACACCACTAGCCGAGCTAAGAGACACCAAGAACCCTTCCGACTAACACCACTAGCCAAAACAAGGGGGCGGCTCGATCCCTCAACTCCGACACACCATCAGAGCCCCATCCCGCCTCTTGACCCACAGACCAGCCAATATCACCGCTTTCCACCGGCACCAGAACGAGAAGAACCCCAAACGGGGTTTCGCTGGAAAAAAAAGGGACCACCCAAAAGGCCCTCCATTCGCGACAAAATATACATAGACAGGAACAGAAACCGAAATTGGAGGGAGACTCACCTACAATCGAAATCGAAGGGCAAAAGACGCACCAATTGCAGACCAATCGACCACAATATGGCTCGCCTCCTCCAATCGCAACATCCTCGGCGAAACAGGGGCTGGGCAGACCGACAAACTTCAACACACCGCGGCAACACCAGAGGTCCAGGATTGCAGAGGAGGGGCGGCGGTCGAACGCGACCACCAGCCGACGCCGCACCGCCGCCGAGGAAGGCGACGCGAGAGAAGAGAAAGGCGCTAGGGTTCGATGAATTTTTCGAAAGAGAAACGCGAGCAATTCACATGTAATTATGGTCCTATAATTTCAAATTTTTTAAATTAATTATTTGATTAAACACTAGGGCTCATATGGCAAAAAAAAAAA